AAATTGAGCGTGCGGGACGCATGCGGGCGGCGGCACTGGGGCCTTCGGTGGAGCTCCCTATGGGGCCACGAAGCGTCCGAAAGGTGTGCCGAAATGGGTGTGCGGGACGCATGCGGGCGGCGGCACTGGGGCCTTCGGTGGAGCCCCCATATGGGGCCACGAAACGTGTGAGGGGTGATGGTGATGATGACAGCGATGATGATGATGATGATGATGATGATGATGATGATGATGATGATGATGATGATGATGATGATGATGATGATGATGATGATGATGATGGTGATGGTGATGGTGATGATGGTGATGATGGTCGTGAGGATTATGACGATGATGGTGATGACGGTGATGATGACGACGATGATGATGACGACGATGATGGTGGGAGGAAAGAGGAGGGAGGAGGGGGAGGAGGAGAGGAGGAGAGGAGAACGCGGGGCGACGTCTCTTCAAAACGAGGACCCAACACCACAGTGATGGTTGGGAATAAATTGATGGACTGGGTTGGGTGGGTTAGATTGGGTGGGGTAATAGAAGATGGGACAAGATGGGTTGGATCAGATGGAATGGATTGGATTGGACAAGACGGATTTGATAAGATGAGATAAGCTGGGTTGGGTAAGAAAGCCCGCCGCAGGCGCCGAAACAAATGAATTATGAAATTAGCGACATGCGTGAGCGCCGGGACGCCCGGGACACCCGGGACACCGCCCGGCCCAACCGGCCACCGGCAGACGGGCGCACGGACACCCGGAACACCCAGGGACACCGCCTGGCCACACCGGCCACCGGCGGACAGGCACACGGACACCGGGGACACCCGGGACACCGCCTGCCGTACCGGCCACCGGCGGACGGGCACACGGACTTTCGCTTCGGCCTAACGACAGGCGTGTTCATTCCTCTCGCGCTCCCACGCAGCTTCGCCTCGCCCGCACGCACGACACGAACACGAAACCGAAACCGATTTCCGGGTGGGGGGTCGACTCCGTTTCACTGCGAATCTCACCCCGCAAACTCCGAAAAAAGGAAACCCCGTCTCCGGGGGGGCGCGGAGACGGGTGGGGGGCGCGTCCTCGAAGTGTTCCCTTCTAAAATTATCCCGGCAAAGCAACCTGACCGCGATGTGTATAAGCATATCTGGAAGCATTCCCCTTAAGATTCAGGTGAGAATCCAGTTGTAGAATTCTGCTGTTCTCGCAGTCGCAGTCGCATTCGCACTGACAGTCGCAGTGGCAACGGCCTCAGGATCCAATGGAATCCTAAGGATTCCTAGGGATTCCTAAGGCATCCTTAGGCATCCTTAGGAATCCATAGGAATCCTTAGGAAACCTTAGGAATCCTTAGGAATCCTGATTCCTAGGGACTTCTAGGGATTCCTAAGGATTCCTAGGGAATCCTGAGGATTCCGAAGGATTCGCCTGCCTCGGCCTCAGCCTGCCTCAGCCTCAGCCTCAGCCTGCCTCGGCCTGCCTCGGCCTCAGCCTCAGCCTGCCTCGGCCTCAGCCTCAGCCTCAGCCTGCATCAGCCTCAGCCTCAGACTGCCTCAGCATCAGCCACAGCCACAGCCTCAGCCTCAGCCTGCCTCAGCTTCAGCCTCAGCCTCAGCCTCAGCCTCAGCCTGCCTCAGCCTCGGCATACCTCGGCCTCAGCCTCAGCCTCAGCCTGCCTCAGCCTCAGCGTCAGCCTCTCAGCCTCAGCCTGCATCAGCCTCAGCCTCAGCCTCAGCCTGCCTCAGCCTCAGCCTGCATCAGCCTCAGCCTCAGCATCAGCCGCAGCTTGTCTCAGCCTCAGCCACTGCCTCAGCCTGCCTCAGCCTTCCTCAGCTTCAGCTTCAGCCTCAGCCTGCCTCGGCTTGCCTCGGCCTCAGCCTCAGCCTGCCTCGGCCTCAGCCTGCCTCAGCCTGCCTCAGCTTCAGCTTCAGCCTCAGCCTGCCTCGGCTTGCCTCGGCCTCAGCCTCAGCATGCCTCAGCCTCAGCGTCAGCCTCTCAGCCTCAGCCTGCATCAGCCTCAGCCTGAGCCTCAGCCTGCCTCAGCCTCAGCCTCAGCATACCTCGGCCTCAGCCTCAGCCTCAGCCTGCCTCAGCCTCAGCGTCAGCCTCTCAGCCTCAGCCTGCATCAGCCTCAGCCTGAGCCTCAGCCTGCCTCAGCCTCAGCCTCAGCCTGCCTCAGCCTCAGCCTGCCTCAGCCTCCTGAGCCTGCCTCGGCCTCAGCCTCAGCCTGCCTCAGCCTCAGCCTGCCTCAGCCTCAGCCTGTCTCAGCGTCAGCCTGCCTCAGCATCAGCCTCAGCCTCAGCCTGCCTCGGCTTGCCTCGGCCTCAGCCTCAGCCTGCCTCGGCCTCAGCCTCAGCCTCAGCCTCAGCCTCAGCGTCAGCCTCTCAGACTCAGCCACAGCCTCAGCCTGCCTCAGCTTCAGCCTCAGCCTCGGCCTGCCTCGGTTTGCCTCAGCCTCAGCCTGCATCAGCCTCAGCCTCAGCCTCAGCCTCAGCCTGCCTCAGCCTGCCTCAGCCTCAGCGTCAGCCTGCCTCAGCCTCAGCCTGCATCAGCCTCAGCCTCAGCCTCAGCCTGCTTCAGCCTGTCTCAGGCTGCCTCAGCCTCAGCCTGCCTCAGCCTCAACTTCAGCCTGCCTCGCCCTCAGCCTGCGTCAGCCTCAGCCTCAGCCTGCCTCAGCCTCAGCCTGCCTCAGCCTCAGCCTCAGCCTGCCTCAGCCTCAGCCTGCCTCGGCCTCAGCCTGCCTCAGCTCAGGCATTCAAAATATAACACAGGACTTATATGGTGTAAATACGAAAATCACGAAGTGGCCCACAGCTGGCTCCAGGCAATCAAAATATGGTACAGGAATGGTGTTCCGGGAGCACGAAGAACACGAAGTGGCCTACAGTTGGCTCCGGGCATTCAAAATATGCTACAGGAATCGTGTTCCGGGAGCACGAAGAACACGAAGTGGCCTACAGTTGGCTCCGGGAATTCAAAATGTGGCCTGGGAGTAGTGTTCTGGGAACACGAAGAACACGAAGTGGCCTACAGTTGGCTCCGGGCATTCAAAATGTGGCCTGGGAATGGTCTTCTGGGAACACGAAGATCACGAAGTGGCCTACAATTGGCTCCGGGCATTCAAAATGTGGCCTGGGAATTGTTCCGGGAACACGAAGAACACGAAGTGGCCTACAGTTGGCTCCGGGCATTCAAAATGTGGCCTGGGAATGGTCTTCTGGGAATGGATTCCTAAGGATTCCTACGAATTCCAAAGGATTCCTAAGGATTCCTGGGGCTGCACTTTTGTCCAGTTCCTTGTCTGGATCCCGCCCAGACCCCCCTGTGGCGTCAAGATGCTCTCTTTTGATCCCACTAGAAACCTATCAGCAAAAGCTGTTAGGCAATATTACCCGGCCCGCGCGCTCTAGAATTTGACAACGGCCGCCTTCAAGATTAGTCCTTCTAGATTATCACGACGGCGTCCGTCGGTGTCGTCGGTCGTCGTCGTTGATCGGTCGATCGGTCCGTCGTTGTCTCCGTCGTCGTTGTTGTTCGTCGCTGTTTGTCGGTCGGTCTGTCGTCGTCCGTCTGTCGTCGCCGTCGAGCGTCGTCTTCGTCGTCGTCGGTCGGTCGGTAGGCGGTCGGTCGGTGGTCGTTGCCATCGTCGTTGTTTGTTGTCGGTCGACGCCATCGGTCGACGTCGTCGGCGTCGTCGTCGAACGCTCGGTCGGCCAGTCGGTCGGTCGGTCGTCGTCGATCGCTCGCTCGGTCAGCCAGTCGGTCGGTCGTTGTCGTCGTCGTTCGCTCGCTCGGTCGGTCGGTCTGTCGGTCGTCGTCGTCGTCGTCGTCAACGTCGTCGTCGTCGTTCGTGGTCGTCGTCGTCGTCGTCGTCGTCCGTCGCTCGGCCGCTGGGTCGCTCGGTCATTCGTTCGTTAGGCCGGCCGGTCGTCGTGTCCGTCGTTGTCATTCGTCGGTCGTCGCCGTCGGTCGTTGTCTGGTCGTTCGGCCAGTCGGGGTCACTGGTCGTTGCCGTCGTCGTTGTTTGTCGGTCGTGGCCTTCGGTCGACGTTTTCGTCGTCTTCGATCGCTCGGTCGACCAGTCATTCGGTCGTCGTCGTCATCGACCGCTCGGTCGCTCGGTCTGTCGGTGGGTCGTCGTCGTCCGTGGTCGTCGTCGTCGTCGGTCGCTGGGTCGCTCGGCCGCTAGGTCGCTCGGTCATTCGTTAAGTCGGTCTGTCGGTCGTCGTCGCCGTCGTTGTAATTTGTCGGTCGTCGCCGTCGGTCGTTGTCTGGTCGGTCGGTCGGTCTATCGGTCGGCAGGTCGGTCGGGCGGATTTAACGGCTATCGCATGCGTGAGCAACTAGAGCGTACCCTGCCTTCACCACGGCCTAAACAATTTACATCTAATCATGAGAAAGACACACCTCGTCAACACTCTCATTAGAAAAGTAACCCCCGGTTTGTAGAACATAGGGTTGAATAACATAACATCGACCGCGCCGCCCACGACTATGATGCCAACGCTTCCAGCAAAGCCAGAAGAAAAAACGAATTTGGGCACAAAGGACTACTGGTATCCGGTCAGAGCAAGCGCGGCAATGAACCACGAGGAGACCTTGCAGCTGGATTTTAATTCTTAAGAACACTGGCATCGCCAGAGTGCGACGCCTTGGAGGATTGCAAGACGTGGTGCCTCCGGAGCAAGACTCAAACCCGCGGGGGCGGGGTCGCTGAGAGAGCACGTCGGCCTGCTTCTCTGGCCCAGGACGCCATTATCTTCGCGACTCTGCGGGTGCCCTATAGTAGGAGCTCGGCCACAAGACACCGTCCTTAAGAAACCCAGCCCTGAGATCCCATGACATTGATTTCTGGTGTGAGAATGTCACGCTCTCCATAGCAAAACCATCGAAACCCAAAAGCAACCTGGAGGCAAGCATCGACAGAACTCGGCGAGGGAGGTGGGACGACTCTGGTGCACGGGCCCTCCTCCGGCCGCAGCTTGGCTACCACGGGCGCCCAGGGGCCTTGTCGACAAGGGCCTGCGTGAAGTGGGGCAGCTGCATCAGGGGGCTGGAATTCGACGTGGTCGCCTGGACGATCATCTGCGACCTCCACCGGTGGCGCGCGTCGCGCCGTCGCGAAGCTGACTGTGCCCGCATACTTATCTCCACAAGGGTGCCACTAGACGGGTACAAGGTTCTGAGAGCTTATCATGAAGATGGCTGAGGGGAACGCCCCGAAGTTTCTGAAAGTTCCCAGCGTCCGTGCGTGCCCTTCGGAAGCCATCGGTGGTCCGACTCTGGCCAGCAATTGCGATGCGGGCTAAACGGGCCGCCGAAATGACGACCGCTGCCCTGCCGTCGCATCAGCTCGGGAGAGTTTCCAAAGAGGGGAGCAACTCAGGAGGTAGCATCCTCCTACTCCGCCTTCCCCCAAGGGAAACTTGTACAGCGGCCCCATCTCCATGTAGGGCATCAGCGACCTGACAGGGACAGGTGCAGCCAAAGTCTTACAATAGGAAACCTCACTCACATGGGGAGCGAAACCATTCCCCCTCAGATTGCGCCCCTGAAGAAAGGAAAGGGCGGACCAAAGCAACCCCAAGACCCTTGCGACACCAAATGGCCTTTCCTCCAAAGCGTAGTGCGCAAATCCTCCACGTGACAAAGACTATGCATGAAAATGGCCTTTCCTCCAAAGCGTAGTGCGCAAATCCTCCACAAATCCTCCGGGAGGCCGCCAGGGCCCCTGAGATCTGGAGAGGGACTGGCTCAGTGGACAGACGAGCCTCGGTGGGGGCTCGAAGCGCCAGGGCTGGCCAGGGCCGTCCTGGGCCCTATGATGGTGGACGCAGCCCCGCCTGGTCTCGACCAGGACAATACACAGCCCTAATGCCCAGGACGTCCCTGGCAAGGAGCGGTGTTGCTGTATGACTGCCCTCCTCCCCCTCCTTCCCCCTTCCCCTCCTCCTCCTCCTCCTCCTCCTCCTCCTCCTCCTCCTCCTCCTCCTCCTCCTCCTCCTCCTCCTCCTCCCCCTCACCTTCCTGCACCACGTCCCCCTCAACGCTGGTCACCGGGCGCCTCCTGAGCACCATCCCGACCCGTTTTCCGAGCCACGTGTCCAGCCGCGGCGCCAAGAGGGGTTAGACATAGTCCAACATGGAAGACAAGAGGACCATTTCCTCGGGCAACACTTGTCGTCATGACTAAGAATTTCTGACGACGCCCCAGGGGTCCACGCCCCCAGGCGGCTTGGAAATCTCCGCCGCGATCCCGTCGAGTCGCCAAAGAATCTGGATCCCCCCTCCTCCCCCTATCCTTCGGGTCTCTCGGGGGACAATTGTTTGGCATTGGCGGTGCAAAAAATTATCCCGGCAAAGCAACCGAACAGCGATGTGTAGGAGCATATCTGGAAGCATTCCCCTTAAGATTCAGATGAGAATCCAGTTGTAGAATTGTGCTGTTCTCGCAGTCGTAGTCGCATTCGCGATGACAGTCGCAGTGGCAACGGCAGTCACAGACACAGCCTCAGCCAGCCTGCCTCAGCCTCAGCCTCAGCCTGCCTCAGCCTCAGCCTGCCTCAGCCTCAGCCTCAGCCTGCTTCAGCCTCAGCCTCAGTCTGCCTTCAGCCTCGGCCTCAGCCTCAGCTGCCTCAGCCTCAGCCTGCATCAGCCTCAGCCTCAGCCTCAGCCTGCCTCAGCATCAGCCTGCCTCAGCCTCAGCCTCAGCCTGCCTCAGCATTCAAAATGTGGCCCGGGAATGGAATTCTGGGAACTCGAAGAACACGAAGTGGCCTACAGTTGGCTCCGGGCATTCAAAATCATGCCCAGGAATGGAGTTCTGGGAACTCGAAGACCACGAAGTGGCCTACAGTTGGCTCCGGGCATCCAAAATGTGGCCCGGGAATGGAGTTCTGGGAACTCGAAGACCACGAAGTGGCCTACAGTTGGCTCCGGGCATCCAAAATGTGGCCCGGGAATGGAGTTCTGGGAACTCGAAGACCACGAAGTGGCTTACAATTGGCTCCGGGCATTCAAAATGTGGCCCGGGAATGGAGTTCTGGGCTCGAAGACCACGAAGTGGCCTACGTTGGCTCCGGGCATTCAAAATGTGGCCCGGGAATGGAGTTCTGGGAAGTCGAAGACCACGAAGTGGCCTACAGTTGGCTCCGGGCATTCAGAATGTGGCCCGGGAATGGAGTTCTGGAAGGTCGAAGAGCACGAAGTGTGTGACTGTTGGGTTAAAACGACTTCTGCGGCACCCTGTCCGGCACCCGCCCAAACCCCCCTGAGGAGTCATCTGCTTCTCTCTTTTAAGACTACTAGAAACCTATCAGAACAAGCTGTTAGGTAAAAAAAAACATGGCCGAAGAAGGGAGGGGGCAAACGCATAATCATCGGTTTCCGGGGCAAGTGGGTGGGAAACGCACGGGGGAACCCTATCCCAATCGTAACCTCACTAGACATGGAAAAGAAGGGGAGAATAATATGGTGAAAGTGGAGTACCCGAACTTTGGAGTATCCCCACACGAGAAAGAAATCAAGCCCCAGCATCACGAACGTCCTGAGAAAGGTCGTGGTCCAGAGGAAGTAGCCTTTCAGCCATGTCGGTGCACAGGACAACCAGCGCCATCTCAACGGCGGCAGCCAGCTTGGTCGCACGCTCGGTGGGGCCCTGTGAGGCGGAGTAGCAAACCCACTCCGACTTGCTCAAAACCCTCGGTGCCGTAGACCACCAAGCAAGGGGGAATATGTATATTCTGGAAGTACCAGCTCGTGAGACATGTTATGTTGGGCACTCGGCCCAATAGTGGCGAAACGAGGGAGACGCTGCCCCATGCTGGCGGCAGGCTTTCCCCGAGCAGCGACGCGTCTGAGAGGATACAGCTCCAGCGCGAAAAATCCGCACGAGCTTGCGACCATCCTCTCCCAGACGCTTGAAGAAGCGTTTGTACACCAGCTTCGACTCCGCATCCACGCCCACATCCAGGACCACTTCGGCGTCGAAACGTTTGTCATTGACTTCGGCCAAACACCTGATGCTTGCCACGCAGCGCAGCAAGTGTTCGACCTTCTTCTCATGGCGTGGGTGGTCGGGTCTGCGGGTCCAGAGCCTCCTCTAGCCATCCACAATATCCTCCAGCATCCGAACCACTCTGTGATCATAAGTGTCGATCACCTCGAGGCAGCAACCGTGGCGATCGGCGCAGGCAGCAAAACGAAGGCCCAGAACCTGGGCATGCATGATCATCGCATTATCCAGGAAAGTCGACCACGAGGCGCTCCTGAGAGATGACGTTGAAGGCCTGCAGAGATCCCGACAGGCGAGGATGTTGGTGCACGCGTTGTGCCCACCAGCGCCCGTAGCACCACCAACGCTCGGTAGAACTGGCAATCGATCTGCACAGAGCTCTGCACGTCGAAACAGGAGGTGGCGCCACAAGGGGGCAAGCCCACAGCCAAAGCGGGCAACTGTAAACAACGGCGAGCCGAGCACGGATCTCCGCACCTCCAGATACTGCCCCGAGTACGCGAATCGCTGTATGAAGCGTGTCCCAACCTCCTCTGGGCTCGGTTGGGGTCGATGCGTCCGCTGGAGCCGCCGCGACCCCTAGGTGTTATACTGCCGTGGGGGGCTGGCCCGAGCGAGCCCAAAACGGACGCTTCCGCGCGTCCTCCGTGAAACCGACGCCCGCGTCGAAGCGTCGGGCGCCGTCCAAATCCATGGCCAGCCCCTGGAGAGAGGAAGACGCGAGGGGCCCGTCGTCCATAAAAGCGTAACCAACTGGCGGTTGCCATTGCACCAATGCGGCAACCATGGCAGCAGGGGCCACCGAATCACCTTGCGGGGGCCCTCGCGCAGGCCAAATCGGTGGCGCCTAAAAGGAACTGGCGCCGCAATATCTGCGGGCTCCCCAGGCCGCCACAGCAGTAAACGTCACCGCAGGCGGAGCACCTGAACATGAGCACGCTTGAGCTCCCACGGCGTGGTCTATGTTGTCGTGCGCTCGGCTGAGATTCACCTCGGCACCTGCCTCGGCGGCTTCGCACGGATGCAACCAGTTGCCGATGGCGTGGGCGACGCTTGTCGCAAGCCGCCCTGCAAACTGGTTGTCTGGAGGCTGTGGCAGCCCAGCAGACAAAGCCGAGAACCAAACTCTGGCCAGGATCGAGCCAACTGAAACGGGACGGAATTCGCCCTCACTTTTGGGATTTCCCACAATGCGCCAAGGACAAATCGTATCCAGCGTGTCCTGGCCCAGGATGCCCTGGGCGTCGACGCGCCCGCGGCTGGCGCCGCGCCAGAGCTCGGGTAACTGCGCACTCATGTCGGGGAAGAGGCGTCGTAAAAGCTTGAGCTCCGTGGCCGTCCATCCGTCCAACCCAGGGGCACCGTGGCGCTTCGCAGGGACGTTATCAAACTGCTCAGAACTCGGCAGCCAGCGCCCCTCCTGCGTCGACTGAGGGAGGGGGACATCAGCGGCCCATTGTTGCCACCGAGTATAAGTGGCCAGCAACATCGTGATGAGCAGGATCTGGGGCCCATTGCTGTTCCCACCCCTGGTGCATCTCCACTGCGTCCGCTGGGGCAGTCGGCGAGGGCGCCCTGAAAAGCGCTGTGGCAAACTTGTAGATGTCCTTAGCCCAACTGGCGAAGCGCTTTCGCCGCTCTCGGAACTGGGCATCTTGAATATGTCGTTGTTGCTGAGAAATGCCTGCGCTCAGCAAGTCCAGGGCCCCGGCGTGGTTCGGGGCCCCGTAGAGCGGTACTGCGGAGAGCCAATCCCGCCCTGCCCACGCGAAACGTTCGAAGAAAAAAACAGTCATACTCTGGAATGCCAAGGTGGGGTCCTGCTTGATGTGCTCTGTCACCTGTCGACGCAGTCGTAGCAGTCGGCGATGGGCGATAGTCTGAGCGAACCGATGGGGGGCACCATGGCACGTCGGCTTCGTCGAAGGAGCCGACCCCTTGGCGCGCTCGCCCTGCCGCTCCACCGAGGCGTAATCGTGCTCGACGGCCAGCTCGAGCGCCAGCTCAGCGCGTGCGCGCCAGTGGTTCCACTCGACGGTCAAAGGGGCCTGGTCACGATCACCCGGGGCAGGGTCGCCAAGCC